CACTGATTTTGCTGACTAATATCTTTTAGTCAATCCTAATTCTCTCGGTGATCTTTAATGGATATCCATCCTATGTCAGAATCTATGACTGATGTTTCATTTATTTCTAGAAGTCAGTTTTTCAGTTATTTTATCATAAGATAATGAAGTATTTTGACAACCTTAAATAGATTAGATCATTTAAGATACTTTGTATAATTTAAACTTTTTTTAAGAAAAGCCGGACCTGGTTTTAATAAATGTCAGTTTTCTTTCTTCCCCTCCCCAACACAAAATACTAAAATCCCCTTTGCAAAAAAGAAGTAACTTTGGAGAATAGAGATGACACCAAGAATGCACTGGTTATTGCATTCTTGGTTTTAATTTAACTGGTATTGCATGCCAGTTTTAATAATCCAACCACATATAAAAGTTTGTGCAAGCACATATACATAGGGAATCCTTCTGTAATGAATTCTCATAGAACAGGAAGAAAAGGTGATATTGCAGAGTTTGGCCTTGTGTCAGTTGCTGAATGGTTTCCAGTAAGACTCCAAATGCTTCATATCCCTTGGGTTTATTTAAAGATACTTCAGCGTACGTGCGCATGAGTGTACAATTTATAGTTAGCTTGTATTTTGAGTCAGTTCCATTCTTTCCTTTCCCACACATGGATCATGATTTTATGAAAAGTAAATATAAAATTCCCCCATAACTCGAAGTATTTTTATTCCTGTTATCTTGCATTTTTCCCTCCATGTGTTTATGTATGTGTGTGTGTGTATCCATTTAAAGTACTTAGAATTCTTGAAGATCACCCCTCTGCCTGCTTAGCTATTTCTAGACCAGGCTAGGACAGGAAACCAAAAAAATATTTTAATAAAATGCATCACATAATTTAAACTTAATTTGTGCATTTAACAAAGAAGGGGTCTTTTATTTGAAGGGAGGATGCTAGAGCTTTATTTTGCTACACTGAATTGCTGGGTTGGGTGCATTGTAATTGGTACCTGCAGTTGCCACTGTCCTTGAGAAAATGTATTTAATGCCAATTAAGATGCAAAACCAGCATCTGTCTTTTTAATTAAATGTGAAGAAATTTAGTGTCACATCTCATTTTCGTGGCCTTCTGTATCTATAAACTGTTAACTGATATGCAGCCACCTAAATAGCCAGAATAGACAGAATTCCACAGTAAATGTTCTGAGACCTTGGTCCTTATTTGTTGATTTCTAGAATACAAGTTTCTTCTTTCCTTTCTTCCCCTATTCCTTCCCACAAGCAAGTTTATTCATTATGTTTGGGATCAACGAAGTTCAGCTGTTCTTCACATGCACGCAGCATGGTTTAAGAGAGAAAATACTTGGATGTAAAGCACTTTCCATGACAGTAAAACATGAAGGACTTATCCTTTTAATTCTCCTTCTTAAGAGTGCAGTGTAAGAGCTCTGAGAGCAGTTGTTTATAAGATCTGCATAACAGCTTGCGTGAGCTGTCATGTTCAATGCTGAGCCACCTGACTCTGAAGGTAACAGACTTTAGGCCACATTGCCAAAGCAAGGCCTCAGCATGTGACTTGATAATCTCCATGTTTTTACAAATGGAGAAAGTTCTTATGACTATTTCTTCATTCACTTATGTGGGTCATATAAATAGTCTTTGGTCTTTTCTGTCTTCTGTGATCACTTCCTTACAGAAGCTTGCATACTCGTTCCTAAGAAGTACTTGAAGTACATTCTGCCTTGAAAGTGGATTTGTATGTGCCTTACTAGTACTTTTTATATTTTTAACTTATGTTCATTATCAGGTATTAAAGATTGTATCTCATGTTCTAAGAAAACAACTAGCTGTTCCCACACTTTCCTATGAAAGTCCACATGGAAAAATTTCTTAGCCAAATGAATGACAGCCATAGATGTTTTGCCTACTTTATGAGTATGTCCCATTGCCTTTTCTCCCTGCTTTCCTCCTTTCTCAAGAGCTGCTTTGCAGAGCACTTCCCATTTGTTACGCAGTATCAACGTGGTATCAGAAAATTACTCTGCATAGATAGGTCAAAAAGTCATTGTCAGGCATTGTAGAAAAGAGAAGGTGGCATCACAATTTATTGTTAAGTATATTCTTTGTTACATTCTGCAGGGAGGAACCAGTTTAGAAATGTCCACGTTTAGATGAAAATGTAAAGAATCTAAATGCCCAACAATGTGTGACTCTTTAAGCATCCATTCAGCTGAGTTCTGTGCAGCCAGATTTTATAATACTTAATGACATAAAAAAGTATGTTCATCATGATGATAGTTAAAATGGGTTGCGTATTGATTTTATACCAGGTACCTTCTAAGTGCTTGTGTTATCTTGTTAATCCTCCTTTTGAGGAGAAAAGAATTTTTATGATCACTTATAAAGTGAAAAATCTGAGACTCAGAGCATTTTAGTAGCTTGTTTCAGGTTAGATAGCTGATAAGAGAGAAAGACACTAGCACTTGGTTCTAAAGCTCTTGCTCATGGAACATAATGTGAATAAAGAAAACTGAAACTTTGTAGACAAATTATTATTAATTTACCAATCAACTTTGATAAAATAAAATTGGTGGAGAAGGAAAGCATGTTATACCAGATATCACACTGTATACTCTTTTTTTTTTTTTAAAGATTTATTTATTTGTGCATACAGAACTGGGGTACAGGCCAGAGACAGGGGCGGTGAGAGGCTTCACCAGAGACAGAGTGGGGAGCAGAACAGGCAGATCGATGAAGTACACTGCTGAGGGGAGCAGCAGGCGGGTCAGGAGAGGTCTGCCACGCCATGTGGTCACCTCCAGGGCAGGCGGGAATCGAACTCATGTGGAAGCGGCCTTAGATTCTCAGTGCTGTGCTTTAACCCGCTCTGCCACCAGGGAGGGCCACATGTATACTCTTTTAAGGTATTTTTTTAACACTACAATGTAATAGAACTAGAGAATAAAAGGCATGTACTTTTATTGTATGTCATAGGGAAGAGGTGGACTGGATACACCTAAGTGTTAATAGTGATTATCGCTGCTTAAAGCAATTTGCAGATGACTTTATTTTTCAAGGTATCTTTAGTGAACATTTGCTATGTTAAGATATTAAGTTTTACTGTGTTTAATGCTTTTAAAATACAATGTTTTGAACAATCTTTTACTAGTGCAGCACTTTTTGCTTTCATTATAATTTAGTGTACTCTGCATTTTCTAAATTATTTACTCTGCAAAGTAGATTCATTAAAATGTTTAGTGTGTGTGTGTGTGAGAGAGAGAGAGATTGAGAGATTGAGACTGATTGATGATTCAGGGCTTAAATTAACCAGTCACATGGAATCACCAAGTCAGTTTCCTCTTGGGTTAACATGGAGAAAAGACAATGGGACAGTGATTCTCTCCTAGCCACTGTGAAAATAACAATTCAGAATCTTTAACTTATTTTTTGAATTGTTTATTGATGGGTTATAGGAAAGCTATTGAATTTTTTTGTGTAGCTTCTTTCTGATCACCTTATTGAAGTTTACATTGTAAATTATAGTAGTCTTTCTGTTGCTTCCCTTGTACTTCCTAGGTATATAATAACTTAATTTACACAGAACTTTTCCCCCAAGGGTTTATGGTCTCTGTTATGTAGCATCTAAAAAGTGTAAATTGTTGTTTAAAAGGTTGTGTAGTTCTTGTAATAATACAGGAAGATGGGTTCTGTATATCATAAAATGAAAAAATAATTGCAGAGTCCTATTCTTTGGATCAGTTATTATTTTTTAAGTCTCATGAGTTTGATAGCTTTTTTTTTTTTAATCTCAAAATGAAAAGCTAGGGGGCAGGGAAGAGGCAGCTGGGCCAGTGGCCTGGGGAACCCTGCTCATAGCATGGGACCTCGCCTTGGGGGTACACAATTAACAGTATTGCTGTTTACTGTGAAGTCCACCTGGGTCAAGGGCCCTTCCCTCTTCTGGGTGTGCTCAACGTTTGCACACCCTGATCTTGTCCATCATGCCAGAGATGGAGGCGCCAGTGGGCTTGTAACAGTTACCACATAGCTTCTTGTCTATGGCAGTGGGATGTGGTCACTCGGTCTTCAGGAGCCTGTCCACACCTGTCTCCAGCTCTAGATCTCTTCTGATAGTCGGAGAGATGACCCACCCCTCCGCTTTAGGGGCTTCGTAGCTCCCTTGGTGCCTCTGTGCCCCTGCAGCCCATGCTACCGGAATCACCAGCACCTGGGCCCGCCACTCCCCACCTGGGAAGAGGGAGAACATGCCTGGTGACCTGTGTGTGCCTTGGACTGGCTGCGGTTAGCTCCTGGCCAGCTCGGGGACTGCACAGCATGTCAGGGTGCCTGACCTCACCTTGCTCCAGCCCTATCTACCTCCTGCCCTTTGCCAGTGCCACTCCAGACTTTATTTAAAGAAAAAAATAAAAGTAAATGCTACACAAAGTGCTTAATTTGGGGAGATTACCCCTCTCCGCACCCGTCCTAGCACCTGTATCAGTTGATACCTTTTTTAGTCTGTGCACGCTGCCTTGACAGGACATCATTAGACTGGGTACACTGAGCAACAGAAACTAGTTTCTTCACAATTCCAGAGGCTGGGAAGGTCTGAAGCCAAGGTGCTAACTGAATTTGTTGCCGGGGAGGGCTCACTCTTCCTGGCTTGCAGAAGCCATTTTCTCACAGGGTGACTTTTGCTACAGGGCCAAAATTCGGTCTAATTAGGGCCTCACCCTTAGGAGTCACACTAAGGTGACCTCATTTCACCTTAGTTATCTCCAAATACAGTCCCAATCAAGGTTAGATCTTCAACAAGAAATTTTGTGGGCATAGAGTTCAGCCCATTGCAGTACATGAACTTCCGCCCCCCCTCCCAATATCCTCATAAATCCTATGATGGTTTTACCTCAGTAAGGATTAATTTTAGCCTTTGTTATAATATTTTTAATGCATGTGTTACTTTGCACTATATCATAAAAATTTTATCTGAATTTAACTTAATGAATTATTTCCTTTTTTAGACACAAAATCGAATGAAGCTAATGGCCGACAACTATGAGGATGACCATTTCAAATCCTCCCATTCCAATCAAACCAATCATAAGCCCTCCCCAGATCAGGTAAGACTACTCCTGAATGTCTTATAAAAGTCAGTATGCTGCTATTTTGATGTATTTTGTACTAACATGTTACAGATTCTGCAGTCTAAGTTAGAAAAATAGAAGTAATCAGTTCCTTAAAACCCCTTCACTCTTTCAACTCAGATTGAATTTCTCTAAGGAAGATGGCAGATGATTCTAAATATTTTAAGAGTGACTATTTAAAAGATTTGCAGATAATAAATCCTTCAGTTGAGTTTTTAAAAATCCTTCAATTGAGTTTTAAAAAATTTAATCTCGGTGATACTAACTTGTAATTGTCCTGATTTTCTTATTTAAGAAACAGTACCTTATTTGAAATGTAAGTCTCTTTGTGAGCTCAGCAAGCCACAATTTAATATAGAGGTAATTGTTGTTTAATTGCAAATTTTTAAATCTCTGCACATTACCTGTTAAATTTGAAGATCAAAACATAGTTTTGTCACTCCCATATCCTTGGTAAACCCCTCCAATATATGTCATTTTCAAGAAAAATTGTTGCCTCTAACTTCTCATCAATGCAAAAGAGGTATTGATGAGTCTGAAGGGAACCATATTCAACTCAAGGTTTTTGGAAAAAGGGAATGTTCCCAAGAGTTTGAACATGATAGATGGGGAAGAGTGGTGGACAGATTACCTCATATCCCATTGCCAAAAATCAGATTTCAATATCTCCATCACACTCAGTCTTAAAATATATAGTCAAGGGGAAAAAAATAATAGTTAAGTAATTACATCCATATGACTAGAGTCAAGGGGAACTCCCCCACTAAATATCCCCACTGAATGATAGCTGTGGCATTGTCTAAGGAGAAGAAATCATACAGATTAAAATAGCAGTGATATCCAATTTGCACTTTTCCCCAAGATTCAGGTATGGTCATAGTATGATAACAGTTACTAAATAAGTTGAGGCAAACCTTACAGTTCAGGAGGAAAAGTATACCAGTCTTTACTGTAGGCAACATAAGAGCTGCCTACTGATGTCAGTAGTCTTTCCAGCCAAGAGATCCTTTTGCTTTCTTTTCCTGTTTCCTGATCCCTGGAATTAAATTTATGCCAGTGTATATAACATGAGCACTCAATCCTTTCCTTGAAACAGGTTTTAATAATAGATTGGAGGAAGTGGATACCCAGGAGTAAAAGGAGGCAAGCAGAAATGGAGAAAGGTTAAAGAAAGGCAAAAACTAAAAGCTTCCAATGTGATCATCTTGCCTAAAACCCTTCCGTGGGTTCAGGACCACATCTTGAAAGAAAGGAAGTATGGAATAACAAACTTATTAACTAATTTTGGTAGTTGGGAATTAAAATCTAACAAAAAGAGTCAAGAAATTAGAGACCATTTTCTTCTACTACATTATGCTTATGTCTTTGTTTTAAATACTAACCAACTCTTTTTCATTCCCATGCTGCTCTGGGGCACCGTTCCCTTTGTCGTCTCTCCCCATAGGATGAGGAGGAGGGTATATGGGCATAGCCAATCAGATGCTCTTAGTTCAGCCATTTTGTTCAGAACGGTGAGAAACAGCTTTCCTTAACTATAGAAATGTTTGTTTGCTTTTTTTTTTTCCCACACATTCTCACATCTTGTTTCTAAGTAATCCATGAATCATTTGGTGTGCTTTCTTTTCTCATTTTCACATGATCTTGCGTGTATTGCTTTGCTTCTGACATAGTGGGGTTTGGATTTTGTGGCTTTTGTTCTTGTGGTGTGTTAATAGTCACTTTTATAATTTCCTTTTACAGTATAATTTTTGGGAGAACTTCCAGGGCATATAACTAAATTTATCCCGTTAAAATTTTATTAAGAAATTACCCTAACTGACATGATTTTTACAGTGTCCTGGTAAGTTGTATAGTGATTTAGATAAAAATGGGCATAGAAAATCAAATGCTCAGCCAGAATGTTTGAGATATATTTTTCATAATTAATTATAAATCTGTGTTTCTAAAAAAATAAAACAAAAACCTGTACTTTGAGCTAAAGCCTCCACTTGTTGGTAGCTATAGAATGCTCTGCGCTCTCAGGGTTAGTAAGCCTTGCACTGGTCTACCTGAGACAGCTCCTTGATTGACCTTACTCATAACTTGTTAAAAACAAGGAAATGTAAAGTAAAAGAAAATTTTTTAAAAAGTCATTCTAAAGAATTCTTTTCCTCTCTTTAATAGATTGCTGCTGTGTTAAACAGTTGCCAGGACACTGTCTAGATTCTCCTTTCCAGGCCAATTGGCTGGAAAATATAGTCCAGCTGTGGCAGTATCTCCCTTTGATCTGATGCCCTGGAGGTTTGACTAAGGAAATCCTTTTCTTAGGAAAATAATAATTATGATTAATAAGTTCACACATATTGGTGGCCTTGTGCTCCCTGGATTCACTGCCCATGCTTAGTAGTGATCTCACTCTTTCGGAGTCAGTTCTCCCTCAAAAGTCTGTGTCTTGGTGTAAAACTTCTTAAAATGATGAGGACCTGGGTAGACTTCTCACTGGCAAACACTGCCAAGAAGGATGATGAGGTAAGTTGTGGAAAGGGCCATATACTGTCAGGATGGGGAGCTTTCCAAGTGACTTTATCCTGATTGTGAAAGAAGGTGAACCTTACAATACCAACCAAAAAGCTCTCTGGAGTAGAATATTGCCTGCCAAACAAAGCTAACCACTGAGAAAATGAGTATGCTAATCCTCTTTACCCACACCCCACAAGCATAGTTATTTGTCATCATAAAGTACAGGGGCCATGCAGTAGTTGAATGCAGCCCACCAGCCTCCTCCTAAATGAACCTACCTTGTCTCTTTGGGAGCTTCTTGGCATGCTTACCTGGAAGTAACTCCCCTGCATACATGAGCAGGATTGCATTTTGGTTGCATACCTTTTTGGTAGCAAACCAAGAGGGAGATGTTTGTGTTCTAGGAAACATGACCAGTAAGTAACTCCACCAGGAGACTGAAAAATGAACGCACCATCACACAGGTTCCTGAAGTGTCCTTTTGCCTTTCTCTTCTCCCAAAATAGAATAACTACCACAAGAACTCAAATGCTGCTGATTTTGTTTTTTCCCATTTACTATATTAAAATATTGTTGTTTAGCACAGTGCAGTTACAGTTGCTGATCGTAGCTGGACCTTCTGTAATACGATATTTCAAATTTTCTAAAGTATGCTATAGACATCATAATGCCATAAGTATTTTACCTAAAGAAATGCATGAGCGACCCCTAATGGGTCATGCAAATCTTGACTTGCTCACTCATCTCTTTCACTTGTTTCCTTGCTCATTCTACATACTACATAGATTTTATTAACTGGATTTCAGACTTTTGAAATTGATGAATTATCAATACATTGTCAAATGTAAAACCATAAATACTGTTTTGCATATCAAACATTTCATAAAACACTATGTATACTTCCTAGATAGAATCAGTACTGGATGAGAAGAAAATCATAAAAGTTTAGAGCTGACTCCTGCACTGCTGGTGGGAATGCAAACTAGAACAACCACTATGGAAAACTGTTTGGAGGTTCCTCAAATATGGAGCTTCCATATGACCCAGCAATCCCACTCTTACATATCTACCCAAAAGACACAAAAACACTGATACAAAAAGACACCTGTACCCCCATGTTTATTGCTGCATTATTTACAATTGGAAAGACATGGAAACAACCCAAATGCCCAAAAGTGGATGACTGGGTTAAAAGATGTGGTTACATATACACAATGGAATATTACTCAGCAACCAAAAAAAAAAAAAAAACCACATGTCTTTTGCAGCAACATGGATGGAGCTGGAAAAGATCGTGCTTAGTAAAATGTGCCAGAAAGAAAAGGAAAAATACCAACTGGTATCACTCATAGCAGGAGTATAGTAGATGAGGCAAGAAAATAATAATAATAATAATGAATCATTATATAACAGACATTTATGAGGGTGGAGTGGAGAATGAAATCAAAAACAGTGGGGGGAGGGAAATGCACTGGACTTTGGTGATGGCACACGGGTGATTTGGTGATGGAAAGCCCAAGGGAGATGGAAAAATGCACAAAAGATGGAAAAATAAACTACTGAAAAGAAAGAAAAAGTTTAGAGCTGAAAGAGGTTTGGGTCATTTCATGAAGTGGTAGGGCATAGTGGTTGAGGGTCTGGACGTAAAAGCAGAATGCCTATATTGTAACCTAGCACAACACTTACTAGTTTATGTTTGGGGCAAGGTATTTAACCTCTTTTTGAAGTTGTCCAAATGGAGGCTGCTGAGAGCCAGTGAGTTATGAGCGACATGAAACCTGGAACTGGACTGCATAGCCTTAAACCCTTCACCTACCCTGTGGCTTTGGGAAAGACACAATCTCTGAACCCCAGTTCCTCATAAAAATGGCACTTTATTCGTGCCCTACTTCATAGGTGGTCAGTAAGTTTAATGAGTTAATATGCAAGATGCTTGGGAAGTGCATCCTCCCGGCAAATGCTCTGTGCTGTTGTTTTGCTTGTCACTGTTCCTTAGACCCAACAGTGGGAAGTAAATGTTAGTTACTGTTACTGTTGATAGCATTTTATGCGTGTCCTTCCTTCTATTGGTAAGTGTACCCCCCCAAAAAAAAAAAAAAAACTTGTAAGTTGTGACTCTACTGGCCACAACATTTCTGTGGCCTGGAAAACGGCACCAATAACTAACAGAAAAAGATACTGAAGGCAAAGTGATGACTGATTTCACTTTTCATCAACAAAACTTTTATCTCCTATATGTTTATCATGTTTTCCCTTGGGAAAAATATCTTATATTTTCGAATGAAATTCCCTCTAATATAAATTTGTCGTTGAAACTTTCTTTGAAATAATTTGCTATCAAGCAGCCCTCTTAAAGCACAGATTGAAACATGTGTCACCTCCACTGGGGAAAAGTGACATGGTCACTTCTCTCTCCCCTTGTCCTATAGAAAATTGGTGCGAATGTATCTGCCACTTTCTGTCCCATGAGTCTTGAG